ATATATATATAGTCATCCCAACTTAGTAAGTTTCTCTTAAAATAAGAAGCAAAATTGTGGGCTGACATCAGTAAACACAGGAAGAGATGACCTGGCTCCTGTCTCAATTCTGCTGGGAATTTGCCCTTGGCCAGCTTTCTGTCACTACCACAAACACCAACACTTACAAAGAGAAAATGTTTACTTTGACTGAAAGTTTTGGAGGCTCCCATGGTTCATTGGCCCCACTGAGGTGATATGACACATTGTCAGGAACACATGGCACAGCAGAACCACTCACTTTGGGGTGATTAATCTTCACAGCAACTTGATTGGCTTGCCATACCCACAGGAGTTTAGGAAAGCACTTTTGGAGTGCGTCTGGGTAAGTCATGTGGGCGAGACATTAGAAACTTTATCTGATCCTTTATCTGGTCCCTGATCACTTCCTCTTGGGCTCTTCTGCTCTCTGCTTCTCCAGTGCCAGGGTTTTAGCAGCTTCTCCCTCCACCACGCCCTTCTACCTTGATGTTTCTGCCATGGAGCCAGTCAAACATGTTTGAAACCTGTGAAAAGAGGAGCCAAAATAAACCAGCTCCTCCTTTAAACTGTGGGTATCAGATATTTTGTCCCAGTGATGAAAACCTGACTAATACACATCTCATGACCAGGAAGGGAAAGCAGGAAAGAGGAACAGACCAAGGTCTCCCAATTCCTTCTGACATCACTTTGATGATCTAAAACCTCTCACCACATTCTGCCTCCTAGAGTTTCCATCACTTCCAGTGTGGGAACAAAGACTTTGACGCATGAGCTGATAGGAACTTTCCAGATCCAAACTACAACACTTGCATTGTACAAGTCCAGCCTATGAAACAGGTGGAGAGTACACACTGAAACTCAGAAGACCCACACAATCATGTAGTTACTCAGTAAAAGAATGAAATTTGCTGAACTTCATAAGGGGAGAGAAGACTGCCAATTTCTCTATCACATATAGTCAGATTCACATGGAAATGATACAGTTTCAGAGCTCAGAATTACCTGATTTTTCTTTTCTAAGTTGTCTCCTGAGAATGGTTATTACAATCTAAAAACAAAAATGATTTTAGAGTTAGAGAAGTCATGTCGGTAGCTGTCACAGAGAAAGTACCTACTCCATTTTAGACATTAAGGGCTAGATATTAGTACTTAATATAATTCGTAGTCCCCATGAAAACTAGATGGTTTATTTTGTTTTGTTTTGTACTAAAGACTGAACCCAGGACCTCTGCACTGAGCTACATCCTAGTCCTTTAAAAAAAATTCTTTTTAAGACTATATCTAGGTAAGTCACCGAATTGCCTGTGTTGGGCTCAAATTTGAGATTCTCCTGCTTTAGTCTCCCTAGGTGCTAGAATTATAGACAAGGTATTGCTATTATTAAGTTTAGTATATAAGGAAACAAAGGCTCAGAAAGAGTAAGTGTTAATGTGGTGATATTAATAAACAAAGAGACTGGGGTTTTAACTCCAGTAGCCTGTTTTCAGATCTTGCGTTGTATCTGTAAACCAGTGTTACTGGAGGGCAGAACAGAATTTTCCAGTAAGAGGGAGGAGAGAGTAATGATTAACTATGTGGTCTTATACTTTCCCCAAGATGTGCAATGAAATAAAACACTACCCCTTGGATTAGATGAGTTGCCTAAAATGAATCTCCAGGAAGTATGGCCTTTCCCAACTTTTATTTGTTATGTAGTCTAGGAATGTTCCCTTGCCCTACTGGCTCCATTTCACAGTTTGGGTGTGAGTGGTGTAAGCTCAGAAACAGGTATCATATTATCCCAGAACTTGACCTGCACTTTCTTTTTAGTGTCTAAGGATAGAAATAAGGCTTTGCTATTGAAATCAAGTTGCATCTCACCCACCTCATCTAGACTGTCACCCAAAGCCAGATAATCTAAAAATATTCATAATGTTTGCACACTTCCATTCTTATTTTTAAGGGAAGGGACTTCCTCTTAGGCAGTTAACACTGCCTTTATTCAGGCCAGCTGTACACACTTGTAACCATTGATACCCACACCCCAAATCCCTGAGATATCACCCAAGAGGTTTACTCTATTCAACAAGCAAGGCAACATTGAGGAATCAAAAGAGGAGACAACATAAAGAGTATGTAGTTTCCATCTCTGACTTAGCCACTTAGAGGCTGGGTAGCCATAGATAAATCACTTTACTACCCTGACCACCACTTCCTTCCTTGTAAATTTGAAAAATATGGGAAACAAAATTGTTCTAGATCTTAATGCCAGGTACTTTTTTTTTTTTTTTTTTTTTTTTTTTTTTTGTTACGGGGGATCGAACTTGGGTCCTTGCACTTGCAAGACAGGCCACCGAACCGCTGAGCTAAATCCCTGGCCCAATGCCAGGTACTTTTAACTACACATATATCTTTATATTTCTTAATCAACCTTAGAGATCCTAGGGAGGAATGCCTCACTGTAGCATGTAAAAAAATGGTACAGTAAAAAGCAAATTTCACTAGAAAGAAGAAAATGGGATGTGTGTGTGTGTGTGTGTGTGTGTGTGTGTGGTATGATCTAAGGTATCTTTTTAGATGCCAGGGCTGGACAGTTAATAAATAGCTATAAAAGTTGGATTTGCATTATTGTCCTATCTAGTCAAATGTAGTCACAGCATTTGAGAATTAAGTGACTGACAGAAATGACTGTTTCTCCAGGATAGAAAATTTGGCTTTGTTTCTTTTTGTTGCTATTTTTATATCTAGTACCTTTTAGTTTTTTATTAGTACATTTGCATTACGTAACAATTACATTCCTTGTGTGGACTTGGTACATGTGCAGAAGACATCTCAGTTCTTTTTTTGTCCCCTTTTCGCCCTCCTTCTTCCACCTTAGTTTGAAATATCATTTAGCACAGCATGCACTATAACCAAAGAGGAAAATGATAAAATTGTGTTTGAAAGGGTTTTGTAAAACCCAGGGGAAAAGGCAATGAGATTGGATGTGTGGAGGCAAGGTGAACATTATGAAATTTTACAAGAAAATAAACTGTATGTGATCCTGCACACAGTTTCAGGTGATGAGCAGACATATGGTATCTAGAAAATACCAAGGATCTAATTATTAGATACCTGATGAATCCGAGATCCTCTCAACTCCTGCTGAAGCATATGGGTATAATATCCCATAGGCTGAGAATTTCCAATGACAAAATTTCAACTGCTATTGCCCACCGTCACTCAGACCACAGGTTTCAAGTTGCCCTTCTCTGTGTATTAAATCATTTGGCAAATGTAAGTATAAATTGTCTTTCCTGCATAAAAACTGGGATAAACTTCATCAGGTTATTAAAAAGATTTTCAGAAAAGTAACAGGTCAGGAGCACTTTATGAGTTTTAAATTTCTATACAATGTATTGGATTACAAATATTCTATGGTCACACTGGACTTACTGAGCCAGAGCTTCAGAGGGTGGGGTCTAGGAGGTAAAATGAGCAGACATCTCTGATGCAGCTGATGAGTCCCTGACAAAAGTGCACTTATACATACATGACTCATTATTATATAATCCCCTGCAAAGATTTCAGTTTCGAATTTTTTTTTCTTTTTATTGAGTCTATTAGTACAATCTAGGTATACAGTACAGTTACATTCATTATGGGATCCTGTACCTTCACGACAGGTCTCGGTTCTCATTTTCTCCCCTTGTCCCTGCCCTCCCTTCATCCCTTTCTCCCCTTCCCATTTACAAACACTTTATTTCAATTTTTTCTTTTTCTCATATTTTTTTCTTTCCCCTTGTTCCCTTTTTCCCTACCCTTCCCACTTTCCCTACACCTTTAGCCCTTTTCTTCCTATTTCACATTATTAATTATCCCATTAGGATCTTGTGTGCTATTATAGTTTTTCACACCAGAGAGACTATTCGGTATTTACACATGTTCAGTTTAGAATTTAGAACTAGAAAGAACAAAATGCCTCCCATAAGTTCTGCTTTCTCTTTTCTAATCATAAGATCTATGTGATTTAAACTGTTTTCTGTCTCCCATCTATTCAGAAATTCACAGAGAAACTGATACCTTACTATATATGTGCAGTTTCCTGCCATCCTTGTTTCTGGTTCTTCCCTTATATGCCTTGATTTTTTTTTAATTATTTACTTATTTCCTCAAATATGTACCATAGTTAATTCACGATGAATCCTCACACATTTTAAAATGCAAAAGGACAGCCAGGGATTTAGCTCAGCAGTTCAGTGGCCTGCCTTGCAAGCGCAAGGACCCGAGTTCAATCCCAGGTACCAAAAACAAAAAAACAAAATAAAATGCAAAAGGACAAATATTGTGAAAAAAAAGTATGGGAAGGCCTTCATTAGCTTCTTGAGTCTTAAGCCTTCTGTGTATGATAATTGTTTTCCTGCATCTGGCTCCTGTCTTTGAGGACACACCTATCTGGCTCCTGGATGATGCATGGACAGCTAGACCCTGCTTTTCCAGTTCACATGTTTCCAGCTTTACAAGTTGTCCAGGACTGAGCCCTTGAGATAGTTCCCAGCAAGCTGTGAGGACTCGTGCCCTGAATTTACCCAAATTTGCTTTGCTTCTAAAAAGACAGAATAAATAAGTTCTTTTTTGAGGTCACAGAGATTTTTGTTGGTAGCAGTAATTTTTTCCTGGGATGTTTAAATTTTTTAGTGATATAAAAATATTATATGTATTATATATAATATATTAAATAATTACATAAAATATAAAATAATGCTATATATATGTAATAATAACATATATTATCTGTATACAAATAAAATTAGCTAGGTTAACCAAAGAATGTTTTAAAATAAGAAAACTAAAATACAAGTAACAGTAATAAGTTCAGTTAAAGAGCCAGTAGAGGACAGAAAGACAGTCTGAATGTCCGTCTGAAGAGTAAGCTCTGAACTCCTACAATCATCACATTTCAAAGCTTTACACATCTTTTTTAGAAAGTTGTTCAAAAAGTATCTGAGCCCACATTCTTGTGACACTAAAGTAAAAGCTGATCTTTTTTTCACTAATAACGTTATTGCTATTCCACATGATCATTTTTATTCTCAGAGAATAGAAGAGTATGGGCAATGGAGAATGAAACCTTGCAAAATTTGGTGCCCCTTTCAAACTACCAACTCATGACACAAGGAGGGTCCTGGCAATTCATTGTCATGGCTCCTGTTCACTTGGCAGAAAAATTCTCCCAGAATTATTTAATGTTTACAGTAAGACAATACTAAAGTCAGAGAGCAAGGTCACCATGAAGGCAACACTCTAGTCTAGAACGTGTCTATGTATTTATGTACTGAGTTATCAAGAGCTGTCTTAGATCTTGTCCTTCCCAAGTACTTTGACTTTAAAAGCAACTCCATTGTATTTCCAAGAAATTCTTTGTTAGACTGTCTTCCTGTTTTTCCTTAGCCACTATGGATTTGTGTGCACACATAGAACTTTTAGTAATAAGACTGGATAAGCCAAGAGTGAATACCTACTAAATATTGAAAAGTGCATTTTGCATTCTACAATGCATTCTCTGCATTTTTTAGAGATTGGGTAATTTCCAATATTACATCCGTCTTAACTAAATTACCTACAATTTCTGCCTTATTTAGCATAGACTATTTCTCTCCACCAAATGTGGGCCCAAGTTTCTTCTCAGATTGTGAGTTGCTAATCTGGGCCTGGATTATACATTCACTATACCTACATTAATCAATGAAACACACATGAATGAGAAACATACTTTATAAGAGCTTCCCTGCCTTTAACTTTACTTGTGGTACATTTTTAAATCATCTTTTCCTGGTGAGTGTGGAGGGGGGGAGTGGAAATCAGGAGATAAATGAGAACTGGATTTTGGTGTACTGCTAAGAGGTTCCTATGATAATTTAAGTTAGTTGTATTATAACTTTGTTGATTGGTTGATTATATTGTGTTTTCTCTTTAAAACTAAATAGATATTCACATTATTCATGGCTAAATTAAAATACCTGAAATTTTAAAATATCTAAAATAAAATGAATAAATCACACAGTGAATGACTAAATACTGAAGTGGTTCTAGCTTGGCTTATTGATGGTAATGTGCTATGGACAGTGAACCAAACAGGAAAAAGGTATAGTTATCTGGAGTGGCTGAGACTGGCACACACACAGAGAAAGAAATATTGATGAGATTAGACATGTAAGCAAAGGCCAGAACACAAAGGCCATTCCAGGAGCTGGAAATGTATTCTGTTATTACGAGAATTATGCATCAGAAAGATAACTCTGGCATTTTTGTAGGTGATAGAATGTAAGGATAGACTGAGGGGAGGGAGAGAGTTCATAATTCCTTTTTCCAAAGATTAGGTAGTAAAGGGCTACTTTGGTGAGAGTTGATGAAAGTTATTGAATGGCCTTAAATTATTGAATGTACCTTAAGGTAACTACAAACTTCTTAGAAACTAGCATGTCAGTGATATAGACTCCAACCCAGGGAAGAAAGTAAGACCCTAGTCTTGTCAGACAATGCATTGAATTTTGGGCCGGGGATTTAGTTCAGTGGTTCCGCTGCCTGCCTCACAAGCACACAGACCTGAGTTCGATCCCCAATACCAAAAAAAAAAAACATTGAATTTGTTTTCACTTCTTAAGTTTAACCATTCCTTTAAAACTAGACTAGGAGGGCGAAGATTCTGGAAGCACTGTCAGAGAAAGAATAGTTGAAAACTGGAAAAGTTTAACTTAGAGATAGAAGAAATGATAGTGTCTTATGTAAAATGCTAGGTTACTTTTGTAACAACAGGCTCTCTAGTCTGTGATCCAAGAGGAAACGTGTCTAGGAGGTCCTTGGAAATGAAGTCAAGCTGAAAATCTATTCATTGCTTTATTCATTCTTTTCAGGGAACTCTCTCCTCATTAGGACGTGAGGTCTGCGTCTGAGCAGAATGAGTTTCAGCCTGAGAGGAAGCATCACTCAACTTCCATCATCACCTTCATTCTGTCTTCAGCCTGATGTCACACCAAGTGTGACAGCGCTTCCTAGAAAAACAGAAGGACAAAAGCAAAAGTAAGAGCAGCTTAGATGTAATTTAAAATGTTTTAATATATTCACATTTATTATTTTACGTAGCCACCATTTTGCTGACATGGAAACAAACTCAAAGTGATTAAGTCTCATCCGGAATCACAAGGCTGGTAATTGCAGAATATGGGTCTCTGTTTTTCCATAATGCCTTCTGTGCCTGTAGAAACTGCATTTCCACGGGACTCCCGAGAACCTGAATATTTCACTAACATACTCAGTGAAAGAGACACGCACATTTTCAAGTGAGACCATGTCAGCACGGGCCTTCAGGGTGACAAAGCCCTCCCCCTTGGAAAATCAGCCCCGCAAGCCATAGTTACCAGCAGTTTCTTCACAGCTTCTGAAGCTTCTGGCCCCAGCTCATCTACACATTTCCTTAGGCCTTCCACAAGATGTTCAACAGAAATGCCCAGAGTTTGCAGAAGGCGCTTTAATGGGTCCAGTAAGGAAAGAACATCCAGAGGCAAAGGCAACACTTTGTTAACAGGAAGGGGCAAACTGTTGATGAGGAAGGCAGTAGCTACAGACAAAAGAGAGACCAAGTGAGACAGGCACACCTAACTCAGTTTTCACTCCACGTACCCACCGCTCCATCCCTGAGCTACTTAGCCTGATTCCCATGAAAATCTTTGCCTACGGGCCTTTGTACTTGCTCCTTGTCTCACTAGAACTCTTTCCTGCATAGCTACTACTTTTATTTTTATCACCTTCATTTATTCATTAGAATTTAGGTTCTGAGAGAACAAGGAATTAATATTTTCTTCCCCACTCTACTCCATGCTTACTGATCCTGGCATGCAACAAGAATTCAGTAGATACTAGTGGTTGAATGAACAGGTGAGTATTTTGTATGTGGCTGTGCCCAGAGCTCACAGCTTTCAGGCAAAAGCAAAAGAGCCCTAATAAATCTCTATTCAGGGATAAGAATGAATCAAATCATGATCCAAAAACTGCTCCCTACCAATTGATTTTAATGCTGCAACTTAATCAAACATCAACGCTATGCCATTTGATACAGATATATAGACAAAAGAGACAAGGGTGCTTTATTCACAAGCTTAACATTGTCCGGTGGACAATATGAATCCTATGCCAAACTGCAGTGTATAGTATGATAACCTTAGAAACAAAGCTCTGTTAGAGGCACAAAGGAAGGGATGACTAACACACTGTGGGAGAGTGCTACAAGAATATTCCCAGAAGTGTTAGAGAGAACTTTGAGGCAGAAATGAGGATCACAAGGTAAAGAAGAGAGGCAGTATTTCAGGAACAACATCAACAAAAGACGTTAAGATGGCAATACATACGTACAATAGTGTGCCTTCTGCCCAGAGAGGCAGGCCGGAATGCAGAATTCCAGTGGGCTGTAACCAGGAGGTGGAAGATAAAGTGGGTGGAGCTAAATCAGATTTTTAGAAGGCTTGGATGCCATACCAATGACAATGGAAAACTTTCTCCCTGAGGACAGTTGGGAACTACCAGAGATTTTAAATGGACAACTGCATTTTACAAACGGTTTTAGAAAGCTAACTGTTGCATAGAAGATGGATGGGAAGGAAAAGGAAAAACTAGAAAAAATGCGTATGATGTATATTTGTACAGAAACTGAGTGAATATATAAATGTACACATACCTATCAGCATACAAACAAGAGCATGTATCCTTCCGCTGCTGAGACCTGCCATGATTAATTTTCCTTTGGAAATGTTTTTATTTCCTCATTGAACTTATAAAAATGGAGCCTCTGAATATCTCATACCTTTATCTTCTCATGTACTTTCCTTTCAAAATTCTCCCTTAATAGGGAAATACTCATTTCCCTCGACCTTCCTTTACCTTGTCACCTTTACTTGTAAGCATTCATCCTTGAACACTAGAGAACAACAGAATATTCAAAACTAATGAATTCAAAAATTCCTCCAAAACTCCAATAAAAATCACCACCCCACGTGGCCTGTGTAAGTGCAGGCAGCACCTGGTGTCATGATGAATCTTCATTCTTATTACAATAGACATTGTGGTGAATGTCCTCTCTGTCTATGTTTATATGTTTCTGGGGGAAGATCTTCAAAGCCTTCTATTCTTTCAGTGAGCCCGGCTGTCATGAAGCATTTTTCTGTTGCATCCAAATGTTTCTTCCCAGAACTTAACAATGATTTCTTCTAAAGAGAATGGCTCAGTTCCCATTCTCCTCCAAGAAGCCAGTTTCTACATCCTTACTTGGAAATTAAACTCTTCACCCCTTTGTACAGCCACAGAGCTCTCTATCTATGGATCTCATGTGCTTTTAAACTACTGCAATATTTCAGTAGCTTTTGTAGAAGTCATATCTCTTAGCAGAATGTCAGCCACCCTGAGAATAATCTTGAATTCTGCATGCTTACAATACTTTTTTTTTTTTTTTTTTTTTTTTTTT